CCTCGATATACGAGAGAAGAAGAAGAGAAAGAGAGAGAGAGAGAAGAAGAGAAAGAGAAGAGTATGAGAAGAGAGAGAGAGAGAGAGAGAGAGAGAGAGAGATGACGAGGAGAGCCTGCTAATGCATGAGAATTACAGAGCGATGTCTAGACACGCGGAAAGATACAATGTATAATAAGAAATAATAAAACTCACAGCGAAAGCGCCCGCAGCAGTGGCGTACGCAGTGGCAGTGTTTGGATTTAAATCACCCCCCTGCCCTGCGCAAACAAAACATAAAAAAAGAAAGTAAGGACGAAAAGGGAGAGAGAGAGAGAGAGAGAGAAAGAAGAGAGAGAGAGAGTGGTTTTAGAAGAGAAAAAAGGGAAAAAAAGGGAGAGAGAACAGAAGGCGCCTATATTCTCGTTAACAAATTTTTCTTACTGACAAAAATCATGATGATCTCAATAAACAACACAAGTAAAAATATGATCTAATAACAGAAAAAAGTCAAGAAAAACTGCGGTATCCCCACCGTTATTCATTTTTCGTTCAAAACTCAAAGGGGAATTCTCGCCAACTCGGGAGCACCCCGCTCCCCCGCTCCGCCCAGTCCAGCGCTACCGCAAGTTACTAACATGCGTAAATCTCCAGGGAAGGGGATCATCCCCCCTGCCTTGAAGACGTGGATGCCTCACAAATACTCCCCCCTGAGATCAAAAAAAAGAGAAAAAAAAGAAAGAAGAAGAAGAAAAGGTAAAGCACTCCCCGATTTACCAGACAGCGTTTATCAAAGCGTGGTTTAGTGCTACAGGTATCAATAGAGCTGCCACACAGCTCGGCAACCGTAAATTGACAGAAATGATGGCCACGTAAAACCCATATTATTTCAGTAGACTGAGTTTGTTACGCAATCGTGAGATTCAGAAATTTCATTCACATTCGATGTAATAGCATCTAACTCTAGCTATCAGAACGCAGCTTTTTATAATATCTAGGTACGCTAAATGCACGTTGTCGACTCGCCTGTACGGTACGTATATAATAAGTACTTGCATTCAGCTAAAACAAAAGACCACACATCACACAACACAAAACACCACACATCTCCTCTCCTCAACGCAACCGCACACACACCACGCCACGCAAACGCACCGCACGCCACCACACACACACACACACAACACGACACACGGTCACACCAGCACAGCACAGCACAGCACAGGCACACAGCACAGCACATGCAACAATCACGATAACAGCCCTCTCTCTTCTCTCTTCTGCTCGCTCATCTCTTCTCTCCTCTCCTCTCTCTCAATCTCTCTCCCTCTCATCTCTCTACTCCCTCCTCTCTCTCTCGATATCTCCTCCTCTCACAACACACAACACAGCATTCTCATGTTCTCCGCTACGCAGCGCGCCGCGCGCGCGCAACCACACATCTCTCCTGTTGCCTCAGCGCTCTCTCTCTTCTCTCTCTCGTCTCATCCCCTCGGTCTCATCCTCTTCTCTCTCTCTCGTTCTGCTCGCGCCGCCTCTCCTCCTCTCTCTTTTCAATTCTCTCAGCCCTCCTCTCTCTCTCCCCTCCTCCTCGCTCCTCCTCTCTCCTCTCCGTCTCCTCTCTCTTCATCTTCATCCTCTCTTCCTTCTCTCTCCTCCTCCATCCCTCGCTCCCCCTTCTCTCTCTCTTCTATCGCTCTCCTCCGTCACACAGCAATGGCACACACACCAGTCACAGACTTACAACCTGCTGCTCTCCTTCTGAACAGCATACACAACTTCCTAACCAATCAGTTACGCTAAATTTTACTGATAAATTCGAACCTAAAACGTGTTCGCTTGCGTATGCTGGCGAAATCGCGACGAAATTTACCTAAATACTGTGTTGAGAATCGTCCAACTAAGCAAACGTCATGCGTACCCACACAAATTTACGCGACGCAAATATTGCGTACGCAGCTTGATTAAATCATGATCTACCGCCGCCGGGACCCCACGCCGTGCAGTGCACCCATCGCATGCCACAGTAGCAGAGTCACAGGCTTGCCAGGGCGGTACAGGATGGGGGCCAGGGGGCGTTCCGGACCCCCCAATAGCTCGCGCAGAAAAACGCAATTCTGAGGATTCTCTAATTCAAAAAAATTCTGGCGATGAAAGCTCTCCAGCACCCCCGCCCGCCTCTCGCGCTGCTCCTAACACCCCGCTTCGCACCAAAATGCCTCGTACGCCACTTGGCCCCAGGGCTCCTGAACATTGCCCTGGAAGATTACCCTTCATCTATCCAAGGCGAATGCGTCAATGTAATAGTTATACCAATCAAAACACATACGCAACCACCTAAGCCTAAATAATTTATCACGTACATCTGCACGAGAGGACGACATTGCCGCACCGCCGCATACCCGTCATTGACCATCCACGAGACCATCGCAATATATTCAACGATCGATTCCTGATTGGCTACATGGTTCCGGAGATCCAAAAAACCAGTGACAACGAATACCCGCTGCAAAATCACGTCACTCAAGCACCTAATGCCCACGTACGGCACGGCGGCGAACGCACATTTAGATGATGTATCATCCGCGTCACAATACGTGAACGACAGTGCGCCTATCCAGGTATGCTACAGTAACACTCATGCCGCGTCCGCCCAATAGTAAATATAAAATTATACATATAGATATTTGGTGTGTTTTTTGTTGCGTGTGTACACAACACAACACTCACACACACACACACACCGCGCGCGCGGCGCCGCCGCGCGCGCAGAGTCGAGAAATTAAGTTCCGATCTCACGGAATAGTACATTTAATTACTATAAGTGAGTTCTTATCATTCATCTTGCAAAAATATCGAACATTTACCGTGCACGAGATTATTAAAGGAAACAATCCGATAATCTTAATCCTGATACATATCATCAAACGGTGAATGGATATCCGAACTCCACTGCTGAATGGAAGTAATCACTGCCCCACTTCCCGCCCAACGTTTCTTCCCACCTGAGTGCGCTTGATCACACCGCCCGATACAGACGCATCCCTTATACAACGCCCGCAGACAATCACACCACACACACACACACACACACGCAACACAGCACACACACAATCACACAACACACACATCACACACGTAAGCGCGCGCACCACGCGCGGCGCTCACACCATACTACAATACCATCACCTCATCATACGACCCCCACTACCCTGCATATATATACACGATACCAACTCATCCATCACATCACACCACTCAACCTCACCCACGCCGCCACCAAAACGCTCCACCGGCACGCCACAGCACGTCAGCCGCCACCCACCCTCGCACGCCATCCAGGCGCGCACGCTGGCCGCCCGACCCCATAACTATGCACCCACTCATCTCACCACGTCACCCAGCCTCACCACTCACCCCCCGTCCCCCATCGCCAACCCCCTTCCTCATCCCACCCCACCCCACACCCACGAGCGCAGCCATTCCGTCCAGCTGCACAGTCAAATTCAACGCTATCAAGATCCCATGCAAATGTATCCGGCGCATACCCTACATAGCAATGTCGAAGAACGCCCTCCCGAGAATAGCCGACGCACAGCGAGCAGCTATAGTATATTACACTGCATGAATGACGTGTACGGCACACTTAGCGACAGCAGTCCGTGCAGGGTAGGCTCGGATGTCACGGATGCGTGGCTGTCGAGCGCGATCGATCGATACGGCGCCAAATCGAAATAATTCACGAGCCATTCAGCCATGAAATGAATAGCAGCGAGTTGTAGCGGCTGCATGCATGCACCGCAACCATCGCCTCACGCGCAGCACCGTAGCGGTACCTCATGATCGTGACGTTATTTCAACGCGAATAGAGAATTTCGCGCAATACACCCGCTGCGCGCATACCAGCAGCTAGCGCTTCCTTCAAGCTATAGAGTCGCGTTTCAGCAGGGGTCGACTATCGAGTAGCGGAGGAAATGATATTGTTAGGTGTAAGGGTACCGTGTTAAGTGCTTATGTCATGCTTTGTCGCACGCTTATCACATATATCGGAACTAATAATAAAAAATAATATATTATATATATATAGTAAATATATTTTATTATTTATTATTTATGTATTTCATAACTTTATAATAATAACAATATATCCAATACATTGCAGCAGATTCGTTTTATTTCTTTTGTTA